AGGCATGCACCCTTGCTTATCCAGTGCTGCTGTTCATGGTCTTGTGTATTTGTCTGTAGACCCGGCAGACCTTGTTTGAGCCTTAGAACCACTGCACATGTGCTGTCTGGCTTCGAGCAGGTTCCTTAACCTTAGTCCTAGCCTGTCAACGCGTGCCTCTGATGGGGTGTGCATAGACATAGAATGTGCTAGTGCCGTAGGTGCTGGGGTTGTCCTTGTTGCTGTACCTGTCACTGCCCTGTCACTGCCCTGTCCCTCTCCCCTTAGGCGAAAGAAGGACTCAGTGGAGAGCCACCCCACCTGGGTGGATGATACTCGCATTGATGCCGATGACATTGTGGAGAAGATCATGCAGAGCCAGGACTTCACTGACGGCAGCAATACTGAGGGTGAGCTGCCCACTTCAAGCCAGCTGGGGTGATGATAACCTCCGGAGGCCACCCCTGCCCACTCAGCCTCTGTCCTCCCTTGTGTCCCCACAGACAGTAACCTTCGGCTATTCGTGAGCCGTGATGGCTCCACCACACTGAGTGGCATTCAGCTGGCCAACAGGTAGGAACTGGAGACAGGGAAGTTTGGTAAGGCAGCCACGGGGACCCCTGGCCTGGCTTTGAACACCCATCTTGTCACCAGTGACCTTGGACCCACCCATCCTCAGAGTCCTTGATAACTACCTTCAGAGTGCCTTCCCACAGGCCTTTGGGTGGGAACTCCAGGACTTCCGGTTCCCCAGGCCTTTGAGCCAGTGAGTGAAAGTGGTATCCAGGATACAGGCTGTCCTGGGGATCTTCCTTGTGTTTTGGGAGCTAAGAACATGTCCTTTGAACTTCTGGATCCAGAGGCCAGACACCTTTTTGAAGGGTGTGTCTTGTGCTGCTCTGCTGACCCCTGTTGGCTGAGGCTAGAAATTACAACCATGCTCTCCCAGCAGTCCTGGGCTGCACTGGGTAAAAGAGCAAGAAACCAGGGTACCTCCCTTCTCTGCCTTCTTAGCAAATCTTACAGCCCCTCCTTGCCAGGGTGGTACATCCAGGTGTGTACACAGCTGATGTCCAGAGGGGATCGGGCACAGCTGTGGACCCCACTGACTCCTGATACTGTCTCTGTCACCCTGAGCAAATGACTAAACATCGCTAGGGCCTCAGTTCAGCCCGTCTGTAAGAGACTGATGGCGGTGATTGCATGTGAGGTACAGGGCCTGGCCCAGGGGAGTGCTTGTAACTGGAGCATCAGAGGGATAAGCTCACCTGTCTCTTCCCTGCAGAGTCTCCTCTGGAGTCTATGAGCCAGTCGTGATTGAAAGCCATTGAGGGATGAGGTGGCAGGCTGAGGAAGGGCCCTGCCACCTCTTGTCCCCAGGCCAGCAGCGTTCCTCGAGGAGCCGGAACCCGCCCTTCGGATCTGCTCTGCATTGCGTCTGTGCCTCCTTGTACTCTCACCACGCCAGCCCCCAAAGCATCATTCCATTGTCCTCCCATCCACCCTGGAACACTGGTCCTGGGTGCCACTGTGAATATTGTCCTCTGAACCACTAGAAAACGGGGCAAGATGGAGTATCCAGAGCTGTCCAGACGAGAGAGGACCTGGGCCCAGCAAAGGACACAGCCACTCCTTCATGTTGGGGTGCTTGTGGCTGCCCCCCCCCCCCACGGCCCATTTACTTCAGGAGCAGCAGCTTCAGCCCGTCTAACAGGGCTCTTGCTCCTGCGCCCTTGCCCTTCAGGAGCTGGAGCAGCCCCAGAATCCTGCCACCTTTGACCCTCTGCTTCGTGCTTCAGCTGTCCTCTATGTCCTGAGGAGACCTGCTGGCAGCCTTCTCCCGGGAGCCAAGACCTCAGACCCCACCTCCCTCGTCAGATGCTCTCCTGCTGCCCTGCAGCCTGCACTTTGCACATGCTTGGCCCCAGCACAGCCACCGGCCTTGGTCTTCCCCAGGACTCCTGGGTGCTGTCTGCTGTGCAGCCAGACAGGGTACAGTAGCCCGGCTGGAGCGTGGCACTGTCCCTGCCCTCTCCCTATCCCCAGCTCAGACCGAGAGCAGAGCCTAGAAAGGTCTGAGCATCAAGGTGCCATCCGCCCAGGGCTGGGTCCTGAGCAGCTGGCCTTCCTGCAGGAAAGGAAGGGTGGGGCCCAGCTGTGCTGGGTAAGCAAAGGCCTCTTCCTCTGCTCTCGGTCAGCAGGCCTGGCTGGGTTCCAGGCTGGAGAGGCAGTCAGCCAGGTGCCGGGCTGTGACTGGATGGACTGGAGCTGGCTTATTGCCAGACAAGCCTCAGCCCTCCTCTGGGCAAGGGGCATGCTTTTCCTGGGTAGTCTGGTCCTGTGCCCTGCTCAGGCCTTCCCCTTACTACCCGCCCTCTTGATACCTCCCCAACTCTAGCACTTTCTGTCTGTCCCGTAATGTGCTTAAAGGATGGTACTGGCTGCCAGTCCAGCCCTGGATAACTCCCACCTCTTTTAAGTTTCACCCATTTTGTATCAACCCAGCAGGCTGGTGTTTTCCTTTTCCTCCTGAGTTCACAGCCCTGTTTCCTCCTCCTCCAGCAAGAGGGGGGGTAGGTGCCTCGGTTCCCCACTCCACCTTCTCAGCAGGGCTGGGGACGGGGTGGGATACTTGTTCTGTGGGTGCGGGATAGCTGGACTCCCCAGGTCGGGAGGTCCTTGCCCGGTTTCTGTCTTCCTTAGCTAACAAAAGTTGGGGCTCTGGTTTTAGAACTTGCTGGTGCTGGGACCAGAGCATTTCTTGAGATTTTGTTGCCATTATTTTAAACACCTGATGACTCTTGGAGATGAATGTTAGAAGGTGCTGCCGAGGCAGGGCAGAACATGGCTGGAAGAGGTTCTGCTCAGCTCAGAGGGTCCTTTCCTGCCCAGCAGGTATCTGGCACTTTAAGGGACCCTGGCAGCTGTTTCTTAGTAAGGTGACCCCTAGAAGATGGAGAGAGCAGTACTCTTGCTGGTCTGTGACTGCCTAGTCGGAGCATTATTTTGGTCCGGTTCAAAATTCCTGGGCTCCAAACACAAAGCAGTTGGCCATGCCAGGAGGGACTCCTCCAAACCAACCCAAGCTAGGGCCTGAACCAGATGGTCACTATGCCACATCCTCCCGTTCTAGGCAGTGGGCTGAAAACATGGCCACAACCAAATGAACACTGACGCGAGCCAGAGACTAAGCCTTTCTCCAGCCTAAGGGTCCTCGTGAGCTCAGTGATTGCCGCAGGGTGCCCTGAGCACCTAGACTTCAAATTCTATATATACAGAGATAGGATCTATTAAGAGATATTTTTGGAAAGGAATTGGTCTATGCAATGCCAGTTTGGAACCTTGAAAGACAGTTTAACGTTTCTACTAGGGAGATATAAAAGTCTACAATATTTTAGGATTCTTTTCTGGTTACTCCCACAACTGACCACACTGCATGGTCTGGCAGGATGGAGAAGGCGGGTCTTCCTCTGTGGGGAGGCGACTGGGGAAGAGGGTTTGCTTTTGGTTAATTCCCTTCTTTCTAACCGTGTAGCGCTGCTCTCATTCCATGAGCTGTTTGTATCCCTGTCTCGGCTTATAGTAGAAAATAATGTCATGGGAAATCAGCTTAGTGTCAATGTTCGGTGGGGGGGATTAAACTCGATGTTTTTGTTACTGTTTTGTTGTTTGTTTGTTTTTTTGGTTTTTGGAGACAGGGTTTCTCTTGTGTAGTTTTGGTGCCTTTCCTGGATCTCACTCTGCAGACCAGGCTGGCCTCGAACTCAGAGATCTACCTGCCTCTGCCTCCCGAGTACTGGGATTAAAGGCGTGCATCACAGCCCGACTCTTTGTTTTTTTAATTATCTCATTACCATGTTCACTTGGGGGCCGAAACAACAGAAGCTAGCCATATATGTTACATATGCAGGGTGACATGCTGCAGGGGAAAGCCTAGACCAGGGTTTTCCAATCCTGCCTCCAGTCATATCCTCACACCCTTAAAACAAAACAAACAAAAAACTCACCACCCCACCTCCAACTGGGTTTCTCTGTGTAGCCCTGGCTGTCCTTGAATTCGGAGATCCGCCTGCCTCTGCTTCCTGAGTGCTGGAATTAAAGGTGTGCGCCACCATTGCCAAGCTTTGCTTTTTTGTGGGGAGTGAGCATGAGTCAGAGAACATAGCCGGGCGGTGGTGGTGCACACCTTTAATCCCAGCACGTGGAAGGCAGAGGCAGGTGGATGTCTGTAAGTTCAAGGCCAGCCTGGTCTACAAAGCAAGTTCCAAGATAGCCAGAGCTGTTAAGCAGAGAAACCCTGTCTTGAGTATTTATCCATGACATTCAGCTCAGGCACTCTGGATTTGGGGTGCTAATCACGGAAAAAACTGGTTAGAATACCTGGCACTGTGGGGACACAAAGAGGGAGCTGCTGCTTCAGGTGCAGACACACGGCCGGTCAGCAATCTGTGGCAGTCAGGGCCTAGAAGAGGGCAGTGAAGGAAGGAAACCAGCCAATATAAGGGAGTATCACTCTGCCAGTGGAAACCCTCATCTGTGCGGGCTTGTCTGACCCCACCTCTCCTAGGCGGGGGTGGGAGGTCGTGGTGTCGTCATTCTACAATCTCTTCCAACAATTTCAGGACCAGGAAACAGCCTTTATTCTGGTGTCTGCTTCACTGACTCAGATTATGGCTCTCTGAGCCTCACTTTTCCCACGTGAAGGAAAAAAAAAGACTTCCAATCTCGGCATGCATTTTTGCCCCGGCTTGGGACTGTGTGATGTTTAAAGGAAGATTTTTGGTTGGGGAGGGTCTGACTGCTGTAAAACCACAAAGACCGGGAAGTGCCAGTTACATAGTTCCCTTCAGAAACTACATTTCCCGACATGCAAAGTGGGCGGGGTGGGGGACGTACCCGCACGTCCGTCCTGGACGAGTTCAAGCACTACAACTCCCAGAGTGCCACTCTAGCTTTACAAGGCGGAAAGTCCTGAGCCAGGAACCGGATATGTCCCGTTGCTCCGGCGAAACGCTGGGGAGATGGTGAGCCCTGGGGTGCGGTACCTCTGTGATTTGGGGATGTCAGGGGTCAGGTCTGGAGACTCCTTTGGAGTCGGGGGGCTCGGGCTTTCCGAACCCGGATCGCTCTCCCGGCCGCTGGTGGACAGGTGACCCGGGGCTTCCTAAACCGGAGAGCCACTTCTGTCGGCCCCGTGCACAGCTGTGGAGTGAATGAGAAGCCTGGAGTGTAAGCCGTCTGCGCGGACCCTCCATTCGTGCGCTCGCACGTCGAGTCATCTCGCCAGCTGAGCCTTCCTTTTTCTCCAGGCCACCGGGACAGACCAAGCGGTGGGATTTGGCCTCGTCGCCATCAGCCTGATTATCTTCACCTACTACACTACTTGGGTGATTCTTTTGGTATGTCCCCTCCCATCTCCCCCCCCCCCCAGGCTCACCGTCATCCTGCCCTGGATCTCCTAACAAACCGACTCCTAACACGACTTAAGCAGCTCTGCATGCCATGCACTGCTGGATGCTTGGCCTGCCCTAATTTCACGAAATCTCCACTATGATTGCTGATGGTGTCTGTATTTTATAGATGAGATTGAGACCCAGGGAGAAGGGTAAGGCGCAGCCTCTCAACTGCTGTACTGTGAGATTAGCCCCGCCTCCTGGGTGTGGCGATCGCCAGTGGATTTTATTAACACCTTGAGGCTTTCTCTTTTTTTTTTTTAATGTGGGAAAATTTGTTAGTTATTGCCTAAAAGTGCATTGTGTTTGAAAAAGGGGATCTTGCAGTACTTAGTATCCTTTAGAGAGAAAAATTAGGGGGCTGGAGAGATAGCTCAGTGGTTAAGAGCAATGGCTGCTCCTCCAGAGGACTAGGGGTTCAAGTCCCAGCACTCACATGGCCAGTTACAACCGTCTCTAACTCCAGTTCTAGGAGATCCAGCCAAAGTGCCAGACACAGCAGTGCTGCTTGAGTGTTAGGAGTTGGAGATCCAGGGCTTGGATGAGGTACACCTGCATGCATGTGCACATATATATAAAATCAAAAAATAAAATGATTTAAAAAGACCTAGAGTTCCTGCGTTCCAAAGGCAGAGGAAGGTGAGTCTCTGTGAGGCCAGCCTGGCCTACATAGCAAGTTCTGGGTCAGGCAGAGCTATGTCACGAGACCCTGCCTCAGAAAACAAAAAGAATGATTTCCAGCACTCAGAAGGCTAAGGCAGTAGTTCAAGGCTACCTGAGATAATATAGTGAGACTTGTCAAAATACGTATCCATACCTAGAAGAGCCAAGGCTGGGGACCTCTTGGGGATTCCTCATAGACTCTTTGCGAGGCTGGGTATGACATCAGGGCAGGTCCTCAGTACCCAGTGCTGTCAATGGGTTCAGCCCCTTGGACAGAGGAGGTGGGATGGCTTCCCATTTGGGCTGGGTAAGATGAGCAGTACTGACCGGAGCTCTTCCCTCGGTGGCAGCCGTTCATTGACAGCCAGCATGTCATCCACAAGTACTTCCTGCCTCGTGCCTATGCAGTCCTCATCCCCCTGGCCACAGGCCTCCTGCTACTCCTGTTTGTGGGTAAGTCTCCCACTCTCCAGAGGTCTCCTGATCCGTGGCAGGATGTCTGGAAGGCTGGCCGCTCACCCCAGTGTGCTTCCACACTTCGGCACTTGCTGTACATCTGCTTGTCCCCAGCTCTCCCTGGGGTTTTCCTGTTCCTCCTTAAAGGCCACAGGCAGACACCCCTCTGGTCCTGCCGAGATTCAGGCTCTGGGGCAGGGAGGGCAGCCTCCCCTTTCCTGTCCAGCCTTATCTTCGTCCTCACTGTTCACACCTCAGCCACGTCCCCTCTTGTCACCCTTGCATCTCTTACTGCTTCTATGGGTTGGGGACTGTCTTCCTCATGACAGCGTTCTAAACTCTAGCACTGGAGCGGCCCTGGGCTAGTGCTGGAAGAGTGATTCGGAGGATGGGGGATGGGATGGGGTGCTGCTAGGTAGGAGGGCAGATGTGTGAGTAGATCTTTTAGTAGTAGATGGCTGGGTAGATCATTCCCCATGAGACCTGAAGCCTTCAGCAAAGCACCTTGTGTTCACTGGTGATGGTTGACTGGCCGTGAGGGGCTGTGGGGCTTAAGGAATGACTGGGAAGGTTCGCCCACAGGGTGTTTGTTTGGGAGCCCGGCCTTGCATGGGGGTCATCTTGCCCTGGTCATCCAGCCCTCACTTGAGTCCTCCCATTCCTTTCACTCTGTGTATTCCAGGATTGTTCATCACCTACGTGATGCTGAAGAGCCAGAGGGTGACCAAGAAGGCTCAGTGAAGGTCCAGCAGGGATGAGACTACCAGAGCCTTCTCCATATCTCCTCCAGGGAAGGGACCAAGGGTCACAGCCTGCAAGACAGTCATCCTGGCTGTGCCGAAACCCTCTTCAGGAGGCGGAGCTGCTTACAACTCACCTCTGACAAACTGGAGCCCTCCTCTCTCCCTTGTCCTTCCAGAAGTCGAGAGGAAGGTGGATTGGGACCTCGCCCTCGCCCCCTTCAGGCTCAGGGCCTGAACATTGCCGGTCCTGCCCACCAGTCAAAGCTCCCTGCCACTCTCACTGGGTTCCGCTCTGTTTCCCCCTGTCATGTGCTGGTAGACAGAGCAGAATCCAGGTTGTCCGCAGGCCCCCTGCCTCTCTACAAACCCTGTCCCTTCACATGGCAGCTCTTCCGAGTCTGACACTGTCCAGACCCCATGAGGACTTCTGGACCCAGAAAGCCCCAGGGAAAGACTGACAGACCACAGAACCCAGACACATCCAGGCAGCCTCCCCAGATCCCAGCTGGCCTGTTTGGGAAAACTTACAAATAAATGTTGATCATGGTGTTTGTCTCTGCCGTCCTTGCTTTGGGGAGACTGGCTGGACAGCTTCCGAGGTTGCCTAGTTGAGCAGTGAGGGTGCCTCAGGTGCTGCTCTGTGCTGGCCTTCTGCTAGACATGAGGTAGAACAGGAGCTGGACAGATATGGTCCTGACTGGGTACAAGTCACAGCTGGGGAGTCAACAGAAGCCGGCACACCTTTTAAGGTCTTGTGTAGCCCAGGCTGGCTTTAAACTATGTAGGTGAGGATGGACTTGAACTTCTGATCTTTTTTTGTCTCCATTTCCCCGGGGCTGGACTCCAAGGTTGGGACACCACACCTGGGGTTTGAATGTAGGGTTCACGTGTGCTGGGCAAGCTTGTGTCCCTCACCATGGCTCCTTCCTCCGTCTCTCATCTACACAACCCCAAGTTGTATCAGTTCTCACTCCCCTTTTCTCATGCTCTCTCCAGCCCCTTTTTGGATACAGAGCCACCTTTCCCTAAAAAAGTGAGAGTCTCAGCTCTGCACTTCCCCTACCACTCTGGCTCCTGATGGCTTCTCAAAAGTACCTGTCGGGCTGGAACCATGTCTTAGCAGTTCTCCAGAGTTCAGTGCTAACACCCACATTAACTTCCAACTGCCTACCATTCCAGCTCCTGACACTTGTAGATGCCACTGCCCCCCACACGTATGCACACAGACATAGGTAATTTTAAAGATAAATAAACATTCTTACGCCAGCACAGCTAAGCATCCTTCTCACCTTCACCTCCAGTTCCCCTCTGGGTCGTCCCTCCCACTGCCCGAAGACGCATGACAGGGGCTATAATTACTACAGCCACGGTGGTCTTTTACTTGTGGGGACGCATCAAGGCCTAGGCACCCCCACTCCTGTCATCCCAATCCTTGCTTCTCAAGCATCAGTTTGTGTTGGGCACTGAGGCAGGAAATGAGGTCCATGTGGCTCCTGCCCTGGTGGCAACTCCCATTTTAGGAGGTTTGATGTAATAAACCAATACATGAGCAAGACAATCTGCTCATGTCAAGAGTGATGAGGATAAAGGTCATGTGGTCCAGAGTGAGGGGGAAGTGCATAGAGTCCTGCAAGGTGGCAAGAAGGATCAAGGCAAGTAAAAGTCCAGACAGGAAGGGGGAAGCCTAGAGGAGGAAGCTTGCAGCGGGCTCAGGGCAGGCAGGTGTTGGGAGTCAAGTCTAGAGTAGGGCAGATGGTGAATTCTGTTCCACTGCGAAGACAAGTCACTCGAGGCTTAAAGTACAAGGGTGACATCATCCTGTCTATGCTTTTAAAAGATCAGGCTAGAGCTGTGTCCCTCCAGCTAGTTCACCACGAAATCTCCGGAATCTGGCTCCGCTCTGGCCCCCACTGGGTGCTTCAAATCACGCGGAAGGATGTGCTGACTTCTGTACGACCTGGCGATAGTCATTTCTTTCTATGCGTTTAGTTTCTTCACTAGAGAGACAGTCAATGGGAATTTCATGTCTACCAAGATCCGAGGATCACGACTTAGGCTACCTGCCTCCAGAACCAGCACCAGAAAACCACGTCGTCGGTCCAGAAGGAAATTGAAAGGAGAGCCCTTTGTCCAGCATCCCGGCCAATGCCCAGCGGCCCCGTCCAGCCAGGACGAGAGTTCGGAAGATGTTTCATCAGCGGAGGTGGAACCCGCAGGCAAAAGCCAGAGCTCCATTCCCAGACTGGGCACCACCGTGATCGCAAAGCCCATTCTCCGGCAGCCCAGTCAGCGCTCGGCGGCCCCGCCCAGCCAGGACCAGGGTCCCGCGGATGCTGCAGCCAGGGAGGTGGGGTCCGCCGTCCAAGGCCAGAGGCCGCTTCACGGATTGGGCATAACCGTGATAGGAGCCTTGCGATTGGCCCTTCGCAATGCAGAGGTGGACCTTGACTCCTGCACCGGGGCCTCGAGGACACAGCAAAAGCCAGAGAAGCTGCAGCTCGGGGCGATGGCCGCTCCGAGCCCTGGGCCTCGCGAGGTAGGTGCGGACCGAACCGGGACAGAGGAGGGAAGGGTGAGTGAGCAGGTCCTGCCTTCCTCTTGGCCAGGGGTGTGGACACGCCCCCATCTCAGTCAGGGTGGGACTTTGCTCTGGAAAAACCAGGACACGCCCCACATGGGCGCAGGTATACAGGGGGTGGTGATCAGGTGGGTGTCTCTCCTCCCCAGGTCTTCCTCAGTTTCCTCCTCAGGAAAATGGGGATGATAAGCTCTTTCGTAAGGCTGTTAAGAGCGCAAGCTCTCAGCTTTGAGCATATGATGGGCTCCACTAGCAATGGGTCAACCGATGTGATTTCAGCATCCATTTGACCCTTCTTGCTGGCACAGAAGAACACAGCACAGAGGAGGAATAGGATGGATCTGCCAGCATCCTGGCGCCTGCTGGCAAGGCTTCATCTGAAGGCAGCTCAGGCACAGCAGTAGCAGATAACGTGTAACAGACCTTACTTGCTGCCAGGGGGAAAGGCCCGATTGACCTAAGGTCAGGCAGCCTCGGAGAGCCAGTCCGACTCAGCTGGGCTTGACTATAGAAGGCATGCTCTGGGGCGGATGCAGGACAGGGAAATGGATGGGATCAAGACCCATGATGTGAAAGGCACATAGAATAAATAAAAAGAACATGGGGGGGGGGAGCATGCTCTGTCTACATCCTATTTGGATACCATGTGCCAGGTGCTATGTGGCCCCTCAACACCTGCGGAGTGGTTATAACATTACCCTGTGTTTTATGGCTGAGGAAGAGAAAGATAAAGAGAAGAATTCGAATGAGTGAAAGCAGGACTTGAACCCGTGCATTTTCCTTTGGAGACACCACACACTCTTTGTTTCCTGTACCTCTTCCCATCAGAGCCGGGCCCCCTCCCTGGAGGCTGGAAACAGGCCAATTGCCTCAGGGAGTCACCGTGGCTTCTTGTTGCGCCTCCGAGACAAGCAGAATCGAGTGGGCCTGTTTGAGATCAATCCAGGGCATGAACTGCACAGAATGACGCAGATGTTGCAGGAAGGGCTCTGGGCTGCTACCCAGGTCTCCATGGACAACCCACCCAAGGTGAATGGCCAGTCCATCCCATGCTACTCAAACCCCAAGGGGGAGGTCCAGCTCGCTATCTGTCTTGCTAATACTGTGACACTGGGGATCAGAGAGACCTACGAAAAAGAGGGAGCCAGGGATTTGTGTCAGGAAGCAGAAATTCTGGGGTGGGAAGCTGGAAAGCCTAGGAGGTATGAAGGGACTCCCTGCTTCAAGTGGTGGATGTGTGCTTCAGGTGGGCCTCTCTCTCTCTCTCTGTCTAGGCTTCAGTATTCCCATCTGTATAATGGGTGGAGGGGTTCCTACCCACTGGTTACTGAGCCCCCCCCCCCCAGATCCTGCTAGCTTGCAGAGTTAACAAGGGCCCCTACCCCCACCCAGCCTAACCCAGCCCATCCTCTCTGGAGCCTGTCAGGCTGGGCCACGCTGGCTCAGCAGAAAGGGTCACCTAACTGCCAACTCAGCAACCCAGCAGGCGGGTGAGCCTGTATGTTGTCTGTGTGTGCACGCGTGTGCACAGTTCAACCACAGTAATCTGGAGGAAATTCCCTAGACCACAGCCTGACTTCATCACCTGCAGAAAATCTCCTATGGTTCCTTGAGACTGAGTACAGCCTGAAGATACCGTTGGTGGCCGGGCTACCTGTCCAGTCTCATCTATTTCATTTCTGGGCTCTAAACACCTGAACCCTCTTACCCTGGCCCTGACTGCCAGCACTGAGGACCCCGTTTCTCCAATCCATCCCCCTTCAGGTTTCTGCTCAGAGGTCACCTTGCCCAGTCTGGTTCTCCAGGGTACACCTGGCAGATCACTTGACTTCAGGGGCATTTCCTTCTGCTGGGGTGGAATCTGGTTGTACACAGCCAGAATGAGTGTTTGAAAGCATGTAGCAGGCTTGAACTCACAGCCTGGTCTTGAAGACTCACCCATGGGGCCCTGCCTCAGGTCTCCGCCATCCTTCCTCCAGCCCTGGGTTAACCAGAAGCTAACAAGACTCATAGGGTCCCTGTTTGACAAAGTAATGGACAAGGCCAAGTGTTGTACTCAAAATCTCTGGGTAGGCGATGGCAGCCCCTGACTTTCTCTGAACCCCTCTACCCACCCCTGCAGGGACCTCCCACCCAGAAGGATTTCTCAGAAGTCATGACCCAGGTTCACGAAGAGGTAAGGAGCCCGGAAGGAATCGGAGTCTACCTTGGCTCCTTCCTCCTTAGCTGTGAGTGGCAGTGATGGCTTGTTCTTGGGACCTTGCCGGATCCTGCCTCTCCGGAACCAGGGACAGCTGCATACACCTGGACCCACGTGGGTGGACTCCCTTGGGGCTACTCTCTCCCCTACAGGGCTTCGAGCTGGGAACCCTGGCCGGTCCAGCTTTTGCACGTCTGAGGCAATACCTAGGTCTGGCTGAAGAAGACTATCAGGCTACCCTGGGCCCCGGTGGCCCCTACCTTCAATTTATCAGCACCTCCAAGAGCAAAGCCAGCTTCTTTCTGTCGTGAGCTTGCAGCCAGGGCGGGGCGGGACGGGGTGGGGGCTCGGTTCCAGGCTGGCGGAATGGCCATGGGCAGAGAGGAGCGGGGCGGATGAAGGTGGGATGAAGCGAGGGAGGGTGGCCAGACACATCCATGCTCATGCAAAAGGAGGGGCAAGAAAGAGACTGGGTCAGAACTGCTCCAGCCAAGCCTGGACAGTGACTGCTCTTTCTCACCGGCAGCCACGACCAGCGCTTCTTCCTGAAGACCCAGAGGCGCCACGAGGTTCAGGTGCTGCTCGCCCACCTGCCCCGCTACGTGCAGCACCTGCGGCGGCACCCACACACGTTGCTGGCACGGTTGCTGGGTACGCGGCTGGAGGAGGGTCCTAACCCGCAAAGTGCCTGGGGAGGGAGGGGTCTGTGCACGGGGCGGAGCCCAAAGTGGCCGATTTGGGATGGATCGTCTCTGGCCGTGTGATTCACAAGGGACACAGATTCAGAAGGGAGTCTGGGACGTGACTGGAGTGACAGGCGCGGCCTGGAGCAGGGAACTCCGGTCGCATGGATCCGCGACTGCGGAGTTAGAGCCTTCACCTGGCGCCTTGTCCTTTTTCAGGAGTGCACAGTCTGCGCGTGGCTCGCGGGAAAAAGGTGGGTGTGGCACAGGCGAGGCGGCTCAGCAGTGGGGGCTGCTGGAGGGTGAGATCCGGGCTTCCCTCACTCGCCATCCCTGTCCCCAGACGTACTTCATCATCATGCAGAGCGTCTTCTACCCTCCCAGCCGCATCTCTGAGAGGTGAGACCATCTGGAGAGGATACACGGTTCCGATGCCACAGGGAAGGTGAAATCTGAGGCTCCGATTCTTACCCGCTAGATCCCCAAATAGGCCCAGGAAGAACTGACCCTCCCAAGATGCAGTAGGCGGGAGACAGAGCTCTCCACCACCCACTTCTCTTAAAAATGCGTTAAGTTGTTTGCATTCTTTTCTCTTTGAGGGGCCAGTATTGGGACAGAACCCAGTGTTTTGTACATGTTAGGCTCACCACTGAGCTACATCTCCCTCCAGATCTTTTTTGTTTAATTTGTAGTTTGAAACAGTCTCCGTGGTCCAGGTGAGTTTCCAGCCTTCCATTCTCTTGCCTTATCTCCCCAGTGCTGGGATCACAGGCCACTGTACTAGCCACCTTCATTTTACAGTCTAATAGGATCAGAGAACAGGACAGGTAATATGGTTCAGTCAATAAAACCACCTGCACGCAAGCCTGAGGACCCGAATTCAATCCCCAGTACTCATGGTAGAAAGCCATATCCAACTCTTTCAAGTCATGTACAGGCACCATGCACTCACATGTGCACATAGAAATAAATAAATGGCCAGGCATTGGTGGCACACACCTTTAATCCCAGCACTCAGGAGGCAGAGGCAGGAGGATCTCTGTAAATTCAAGGCCAGCCTGGTCTACAAAGTGAGTTCCAAAATAGTCAGGCCTGTTACAGAGAGAAACCCTGTCCTATAAATAAATAAATAAATAAATAAATAAATAAATAAATAAATAAATAAATAAATAAATGTAGTTGAAATTGGAGAATAGATCTATCCTACTACTGGTGAGATCCTCTCCTGGCAGACAAGATACTGAGAAACAGGCAAGGCAGGGCTTACACCTGGGTTGGACTTGCAAAGGCCTGCTGAGTTCAAATCCTTGTTCTGTTCTTTGCTTACCCTGTGACACAGGCAGGTTAAAGAGATGCTTGCACCTCTGTTTCTCCATCTCTAACATGGGCACCGTCTAAGGGGGTACCAAGCCTTTGTTTCTCCATCTCTAACATGCACACGGTCTAAGGGGGTGCCGAGCCTTTGTTTCTCTGTCTCTAACATGGGCACCGTCTAAGGGGGTGCCACGCCTCTGTTTCTCCGTCTCTAACATGGGCACCGTCTAAGGGGGTGCCGAGCCTTTGTTTCTCCATCTCTAACATGGGCACCATCTAAGGGGGTGCCGAGCCTCTGTTTCTCCATCTCTAACATGGGCACCGTCTAAGGGGGTGCCGAGCCTCTGTTTCTCCATCTCTAACATGGGCACCGTCTAAGGGGGTGCCGAGCCTTTGTTTCTCCATCTCTAACATGGGCACGGTCTAAGGGGGTGCTGAGGTTTGGAGATGTCAGGAAGTGTCATCCCTAGTGATTTAGCCCATACAGGAACAATCACACCTGGGAAGCTCTTGCTTCCAGTGATTTCTGCGTGTCCCCTACCTCCTCCCAGGTATGACATCAAGGCCTGCGAGCTGAGCCGCTGGGTGGAGCCAGTTCCTGAGGGCAGCCCCCTTCTCCTGGTGCTGAAGGACCTCAACTTTCAGGGAAAGACCATTAACCTGGGTGAGTCACATGGTAGTCACTATCTCCTCTTCCTCCACTCAGGGTGAGGTTTGGAAGGGGGTCCTTAGTACTGCCCTTTGCCCAAATTCTTAGCAGCCCAGGACTCCGATCCTTGCTCTAGACTCCCACAACTGGGAGTGCGCGGCAAGTCATCGGACGGACAGGGGTGGCAGTGACATTCCCACTTTTGGGGCGAGTGCAGGTGCAGCCAACACATAAGGGGGACTCAGCTGGGGTCGGGTGCTCTAACAGGACCCCAGCGGAGCTGGTTCCTCCGCCAGATGGAGCTGGACACCGCCTTCCTGCGGGACCTCAATGTGCTGGACTACAGCCTGCTGGTGGCCTCTCAGCTTCTCCACGGAGATGAAAAGGGCTGCCGCAGCATTTTCCGTACAGTCAGGTGAGCCCTGCCTCCAGGTGTGGTGACAAGACGGGCGTGGAAAGAGGGGTGCTCATGTGTGTGCGTGTGCGTGCGTGCGTGCGTGCGTGCGTGCGTGTGTGTGTGTGTGTGTGTGTGTGTGTGTGTGGCGTGGCTGCTGGAGGCAAGGGACCCAGATTGACCACAGCAGAGGACAGAACTGAAGGCCCTAACTGGACAAGGTTTATTTTGTTTTTTCGAAACAGGGTTTCTCCGTGTAGCTTTGCGCCTTTTCTGGAACTCACTCTGTAGATCAGGCTGGCCTCGAACTCACAGAGGTCCACCTGCCTCTGCCTCCTGAGTGCTGGGATTAAAGGCGTGCACCACCACCGCCCAGCCAGACAAGGTTTTAATGATGGTTTGAGCACTCTACTATTTTCTGGCAGGACCTATGGGGCCACCAGAGGTTTCTGAGCAGGGACAAGACCCATTTAGTTTTGTGCCCTCTTACCCAGTCATTCTGTCTCTAGACCTCTGAAGTCATTGCCACTGGCATCATCGTGTACTGTGTAGAAGTGACTGTCACTCTGTCCATGTTGACCATGACTGTTTCTCACCTTCCGGGTGTGACAATCAAGCTCAGAGCAGGCGAGGGATGTCAAAAGGCTCCTAATCCGACAGCAGTTCTCCCAGGCTCACCCCTGTGCTTGAACAGAAAGGTCATTTAAGAGGCCAATCCTGCTGAATGGGGTCTTTAAAGCGGACCTTTAATCCCAGCACTCGGAGACAGAGGCAGGTGGATCTCTGAGTTCGAGGTCAGCCACTGTCTGAGACCCTGTCTCAAAAACCACCAACCCTGAACCCAAGCCCGTTGGTCTCACGCAGGGCCGGGGAAGTAAAAGATGAGGATGCCCCAGCTTTCATGCGGTTTCTGTTCCTGCTCCATCTATGGCAGAGGCTTGGAGGTGAAGGAGATTGGAGCAGGATCCAGTCTCCCCATAGTCACAGCCCAAGCACGCCTGGATCAGATGTTGAAGGAGCATCCATGGAGCAGTGTCATTCAAGCTAGCTCTTGCCCACTGCCAAGTCCCAGTGTGCATAAGATAGTCATCATGTTGAATATTTCCCAATAGGCTCTTCATCGATGCCCACACCTCCCCAGCTTCCAGGTTAATCTCGCCCAGGCTCTTCTGCCACCCATTTTGACTGGTCTGTACTGTGATGGGCTCATCTCTCATTGGTTGTCTTTTCTCCAAGAGCCCACCCTCAGCATAGCGCTATAGCAGTGGTTCTCAACCTGTGGGTCTTGACCCCCTTGAGCTGCATACCAGATAGCCTGCATATCAGATATTTATGTTACGTTTCACACCAGTAGCAAAGTTACAAAGTAGCAACAAAAATAATCTTATGGTTGGGGGCCACCACAATGTGAGAATTGTATTAAAGGGTCGCAGCGTTAGGAAGGTTGAGAACCACTGCCCTATAGCGTCCCCTCCAGGACAAGGTAGAAAAGTTGAACTTGCTTTTCCTGGGATTTGGCGACTGGGGAACGTGCGCCTAAGAGAGATCACAGGCCTACACACTGGGGCCGGACCATTCTCAGTTCTTCAGCTCTATGAGCCTAAGGCTTCTACGATTGGACTACCCACAAATAGAGGTTTAGGAGATACAAGATGAGGGCCAGGTTGCATGACCAAAATGCTCGAAATTGGTCTTCCCCAACAGAAATGTAATTCAGTCTACAGCCCTATGTCTCATTCATAGACCACGAGTGGCTGCTGAGTCTTTGAAATATAGAATTAATTTTTTCCCTGGTAGCCTCATTTATAAAGATTTTTTTTAAAGGGGGGCGGGCCTGGTAGCTGGGCATGGTAGCACATGCCTTTAATCCCAGCACTCGGGAGGCAGAGGCAGGCAGATCTCTGTGAGTTCGAGGCCAATCTGGTCTATAGAGTGAGTTTTAGCACAGCCAGGTCTGTTACACAGAGGAACCCTGTCTTAAAAGGCCGGGGGGTGGGGGGGGGACGACACCAAAAATTTTAAAAATAATATTGAGGGGGCTGGAGAGATGGCTCAGTGGTTAAAAGCTCTGACTGCTCTTCCTGGGAACGTGTGTTCAATTCCCAGCACCCACATGGCAGCTCACAACTGTCTGAAACTCCAGTTCCAGGGGACCCAACACCCATGGCAAAATACTAATGCACATAAGATAAAAATAAATAAATGTAAAAACCCATACCTTTAAAAATAATAATATTGAATCAGTATATTTGATTATGCCGCATGTGGTGGTGCACACCTTTAATCCCAGCACTTGGGAGGCAGAGGCAGGTGGATCTCTGAATTCAAGGCCAGAATTTGAGTGAGTTCTAGGACAGCCAGGGCTGTTACACAAAGAAACCTTGTCTTGAAAATCCAAAAAAAAAAAAAAAAAAAAAATTATTTTATTTTATTTCATCAACCTAAAAGTTGATGAGATCGTTTGCATTATTTTTCAATACTGCCCTTTTTAAAGATTTTATTTTTAAATTACATGTGTGAATATGAGTGCACGGCCTGCGGAGGCCAGAAGATGGCGTTGAATCCCTTGGAGCAGGAGTTACAGACAGTTTTGAGGGGCTCTTGGTGTATGCTGGGAGCTGAACTCTGGTCCTCTACAAGAACAGCAAGATGGCTGAGCCACCTCTCCAGCCCCTCACTGCTAACTTTGAACTTCAGTTTATCCTGGAGCTTGATATTTCCCATGACGCTGGCTGTATTTCAAGGGCCACTGTGGCCAGTGCCTGACGGTCAAGTATGCTATTCCTCAGCCTCCTAGGCTTTATCCTATTCCCACACCCAGGTCCGTACATGGTGCCCCAAACTCGTGTGGGGCGGAGGACCAGAACCGCCGGCTGCTGCCCGACGTCCCCAACGCCCTCCATGTCTTGGACGGGCCAGACCAACGCTATTTTCTGGGCTTGGTGGATCTGACCACTGTCTATGGGCTTCGCAAACGGCTGGAGCATCTGTGGAAAATGATGCGCTATCCAGGCCAGTCCTTCTCCACGGTCAGCCCGGCTCTCTACGCCCGTCGCCTCTGTCAGTGGGTGGAGACGCACACCGAGTGACTCGACGCCCACCTGTCTGCGATCTCCTCATCTGGACAATGGGCATGAGCGAGCCCACAACAATTTTCCAGCGGTACCCAAGGAGCTAGCCTGCAGTTTCTGCCTTAGCCACAGGAGGGAAGCATCTCCTAACTAATGCTGTAACCACTCAGCCCTATTCGGTGATGGTGCTGTACTCTGCTTAGAGAAAGGACTCCCCCTGCCCCCATTAGCTCATTTACTATTAAAAAATGTTGGTATTCTCTTTTTACAGACCGAGAAATGGAGGCTCACGGGGTGAAGGGGGTGAGAGAGACCATTGAGCAATAAATGCTGGAAGCAGCCTGCACCATGCCTTGGACCTGGGAACTTAGAGTCTTGACCACCCAGCTCCTGCAGCCCTCTGGAGAGGGGAAAGTGGAGGCTTTGCCCCCTTGTCCCAAGGGGGGAACAAGTCAAGAGGGTTTGTTTTTGTTTTGTTGCTGTTGTTTTTCAAGACAGGGTTTCTCTGTGTAGTTTTGGTGCCTTTCCTGGATCTTGCTCTGTAGACCAGGCTGGCCTCAAACTCACAGAAATCCATCTGGCTCTGCCTCCCGCGTGCTGGGATTAAAGGCATGCGCCACCACCGCCTGGCTAAGTCCAGAGGTTTTAAGGTGCAGGTTAGGAGCAAGACTAGCCCCGGATACTAGGCCTCCCAATGCCCAGCTCTGATTAAGGCTCCACAGTGCCCCTCTGGGAGACAAGTAGGAGAAGATGAAGCAGGGGCGGGCCTCCTGGAGTTGGCTGGGAGGTGGCCTCAAAGGTCACTGTTGATCTTGAATGACCTCTCAGTCCCCTGTCAAATGAGGAAGCTTGAGTGTCTAGCCCAAGGGTTTTAGACAGGCCTGTAGAATCCCTGACCACCGCTTTTCCTTCCTCTGGGAAACCAGCATCGCCTCTGACCCCAGTCTCATCCAATTTTGCTCAACGGCCTTTTCTTCCAAGGTGTTGTAGAGCCTGGCTGTGTTTCCCGGGCATGGTGCCAACCCCTGCCTCCCTGCTCTAATGTGTGAAGTGGAAATGGTGGCACACAGACCTCAGGAACATTCGGCACTGCCTGGGCAGCTGCCCGAAGCAGGCTCTCTCCTGGGATACACACAGTTGGGAAGAAGGCTGGGGCCAAAGTCCCAGGAAAAGGAACCATTACCAAATCACCTCACAGATGGTGTCAGGAGGGAAGGGGCCTTATCTTCTAAGCTGAGACCAGAAGGGTCAGACATGTCCCTGATAGGTTCCAGGCCAAGAGCACAGTGAAGAACCTGGAATTTGGGAGAAAGTAAACATCTTAGCAAGAAGTAGCATTGTGGGGGGTGTGGGGAGCAGTGTTGAGGGATCCCCCTCCCCCCAGACTGGCCAGCTAGGTTCCTGGAAAAGCCTCTCAATAACTCTTCTGCTGGCCCATCAGATATGGCCAGACTTTGAAAAGTGGCTGCTGGGGACAGGGACAGGAAGGGAGGGCAGAAGAGGCTAGCCTCAGTGGAACATTCCAGGAATTGGCACTTTTCAGACAGACACATGGCCTGTTCTGGGTGTTCTTGGACGATTACTCTGTGTAGGGATTTGTTCTTGGTTGGCAGGAAGTTGAGAAAGTGTGTTCAGTTTCTGATGCCGCCCATAGGTGTCCAGCTGGGGATGTAGGAAGGTAGAAGGGGCCAGAACAGGAGCTGGGATTTGCTCTCACATCTGGGGTCTGGCTCCCAGGGGATTGACCTTGAACTCAGAGCCTGGAGGTGGCTGGGAACCTTGACAGGGCCTGAGGGTGTGTGGGGAGTGACCTAAGACCTCAGAGACCCAGGACTGCTGGCTCTCTTGCCTTGTTTTGGATGTGTGGGGACCATGTGGGTGCTGAAGGTGATAACATCAGCATATGGAAATGAGTCTAATGGGCACATGGGCATGAGAACAAGGGAACTGATTCACAGGGTGACTTCTCGGTGAACAGCTGGGGGGTGGGGTGCCTAATGCCTGTAATCCCAGCATTCGTGGGGCTGAGCAGGGTCCAAGACTAGCCTGGAGTGTGCTGGTGAGTTTTCATCAACTTGACACAAAGTAGGGTCATTTGGAAAGAGGGAACCTGAGTGGAGGAAATGCCTCTATCATTGACCTATAGGTACATCTTTGCGGGTCTTCCTTCCTTCCTTCCTTCCTTCCTTCCTTCCTTCCTTCCTTCCTTTCTTTTATTAATGAGTGGTGTGGGAATGCCTAGGCTACTGTGGGCAGTGCCTCCCCGGGCAGGTGGTATAAGAAAAGTGGTTGAGTGTGAGTCTGAGGAACAAGCCAGTGACCAGCATCCTCCATGGCCTCAGTTCCTGCCTCCCCTCCACGCTCCTGCCTTGAGTCCCCGCCCTGACTTCTTCCCTCAGTGAAGACTGTGATGAGGAACTGAAAGCCGAAATAAACCCTTTGTCATGTTGCTTTTGGTCCTGGCGTTTGTCACTGCAACAGAAAGCAGACTGGGACAGCCACATAGGAAGGTCCTGTCTGGTGTAATAAAATCAACTTGGAGTGTACCATTGGAAAGGGTCCTCCTGAGGAGCTGAGGTTTGAGCTGAGTGACAGGGAGTCCCACTAGGCATGTGGCTGGAGCAGCCCGGGTAGAGGACGCAGGAAGTGCAAGGTCCTGCGGATGTGACAGCGGCTTCCATGAGGGATCCCATTCTTGTCCCCAGAGGCCCAGAGGCCAGTGAGGGGGCAGTAGGAACTCCACAAGCCGAAGTGCCCCTGGGACTACAGAATTTTCTGGTAGTGCCCTGAGTCACCACTGCCCTTCTCTCACTGGGAGAGGGGGTTATTTCCCCCACTTTCCGGGGGTGGGGTGAGGGAACAGTCAGGCAAAGGCTGCTTTGACATAATCAGTGCAAAACTTGGGCTGTGTGGAAAACAGCCGGAGCCATTAATCCCAGCTCTCAACCCTCTGCCCCAGCTAGCAGAGGCAGCCGATCTTGGTAAGCCCGAGGCGAGGTCTGTCTCAAATATGTGGGACTCTGTCTCAAAAACGAAAACATGTTTCATCATTGCCAATCTGAATTTTAGATTCAAGTTCACATCTTGCATTTCATTTGAGCTGACAGCCCTACCAGCCTGAAACCCAGGGCTGCTTAACTCGGAGCCCTTGCTTCATTTCCTGTCGTCCTGTCACTTCCCGGCAATTTCAGCAATGGAGAACTTCATCTCTCCGGTCAGGAAGCCATTGCATGGTGGCTCAGACCTTCTGGAGAGGTTTTCCTCTTTCTTCCATGCCCTTGGCGCACACCGAGTAGGGTGGGATGCTAAAGTAGACAGGCCCCGCCCACACCAGCCCGGAGGTCTCGGAGACCTCCACGCTCCGCCCGCCTCCGCTGCGTAGACCCCGCCCCCTGTGCGCAAAGCCTCCGCCCCTCCGCCAGGCCCCGCCCCTGCCCCCGGGCTGCGCTGCTCGATCTTCCATCCAGCAGAAGCTGCGGCCGCAGCACCGCCTCCCACCCGGGGCCGGTTCCAGGCCCTCTAGTCGGGCCCACTGGACATGGAGCTCCGAGCAGCGCTTCGTGAGCCCCCGGCGCGCCCCAACCTGCCGATCTGGTTAGCGCCCAGCTTGGGGAGGGGACGGTGGAATCTGGCAGGGTGATAACTCCACATCCTGGCCGCCCCAGGCCTCTCCATCGCACCGCGGTAGAGAGGTGGGATGCATGGGGAAGAAATCCCTGCTCCTGGCTTTCTTTGCCTTCCTTTGACCAAATGGGTGACCTTGAGCCGAGAGCGCCTCCTCTCTGTCTGTCCTTCCCCATCTGC